ACATATTATGATGCCCTGTTTGTGAGATCCGCGCATATAACCAGATTTATCAACTCGTACCCTGATAATTTGACCGTTATACGCTAACTTAAGTACTGCCCACGCTCCAAGCGCTTTTCCCCCCACCTCCTCACCCCACGCCTCCTGCTGCCCGTTGCTATAGTGATTTCAACGCCAATCGAGCTCCCCCGCGCCCCGCTTGCGATAAAGCGACACGTGCATGCACGAGACTATTTTATTTTAGTCTTAAATCCCGACTTCGTATTGGGTACTACGCGGCTCTCCAACGTAACGCCCTGCTAGGCCAAGCAGGCGGCGTGAAGCCGCTCCATCTCTTAAGAGACAGCGCAAAACTCCCCCTGAAGAAACAAAGTACGCCGTGCCCAGAACACGGGCGTACAAACCTACTCTGTATCCCTTTGTGACCCGCGTCACGAAGGATCGTAACCAAATATATATGTGTATAAAGGCTATGAATGGCAGCCGTTTGAATGTGATGCTACTGTTCTGCTAGGTGGCTCCCGCTAACCCTGTCTCACCACTCTTTCCGCCTGCTGACCAGGCCGCTGTTTTACACACACTACCAGAGGTGTGGACTCGAGTCATGTGACTTGGACTCGAGTCAGACTCGAGTCATGATTTTGATGACTTTAGACTCGACTTGACCAAATATAAAAAGACTTGCAACTCGACTTGGACTTTAACATCAATGACTCTGACTTTCACTTGGACTTGCACCCGGGCCATTTTTACCTTTCTCCGCATCTCTCTTTCTATCTATGCCGTCTCTGAAGAAATAAAGCCTCGCGGTAGTTGTAGCGCTCGCGAGAGAGTTCGAACGTGAGTTCCCCACAGTTCGTGCAACAACACTTCCCTAAACAAGCGGACTGCATTCACCGGTGGGTGTGTTGTCGTAGGGGAGCTGGAAATGATCGAGCTGCAGGTATTTATCGCGACCTAACGTCATATTTTGTTCTACAAACCGTAATTGATATGCTTTCACTACAGGCGCCTCATACAATTGAATCGACGCAGTTGTCACACTGTGTGCCGTGTTTTAAAGAGGAACTGGTGAGTCAAACTAGCGCTAGCCTGCGCTGCTCTGTTGGCTCTTTCTTATATTTTTCTGTGTGGGCGCCGAGGCCTATTATTATGAGTATGTTTTTGCTGTGCTCCTCCTGCTAAAGTTTGCATACATTAGATAGTTGTTTTGATTATGTGCACTAAGCTAGATTAATATTTGCACTATTGTTTATGGTGCATTGATATGAGAATCAGTGCTTTGACTGATTGAATTAATTTATATGAGACATTTTATTATGTAATGATATATTGGTAATTATGAGATATTGCTAATGCTGGTCCAGTTGATGGCGAGCTGCCCCAGGTCCAAAGCCTAGACCCCTCATACTACCCCTATTCTACAGTAGGACATTTGGAACAATAACCACTACGGACATTAAACTGATTATATAGATACAGGTCCTAGCCCAATACTCATATTCATATATGCTGCACTTGCTACTTCCCATTAAAAACCCCAAAGATAAAAAGTATGTTGACACGGACTGCTCTGATTTTATGTGTGGTCTGTGCATGTGTAACTGAGCCTGCATCTGGCACAACATAGTTTTGATTTACCAGCAGCCAACGACATGGAACAAACTGTTAGTCCATGGGTCAGAGACCAACGAGAATGCACCAGCAAAATGATTCCTAACATTATTTTGTTTGCCTACAAAAGTACGTGGAGACCAACAAGAAACAAATCGCGGTCAAAAAGACTCGAGAGGACTCGAAAGTCAAACCGTAGGACTTGGGACTGACTTGAGATTTGTTGGCCTTTGACTTGGACTCGACTCGGGACTTGCCTGTCTTGACTCGTGACTTGACTCGGGACTTGAGGGCAATGAATTGAGACTGACTTGTGACTTGCTAAACAATGACTTTGTCCCACCTCTGCACACTACACACACACCAGGACTCTACTGCACAATACAGACATACTCCATTCCACCATTGCAGATACGTGCTCGTGCGAATCGTATAACTCGCTGCGATACTTCCGTTGTCTAAACTACTGCTAGTCCTCTGTGTTCGGCAAGCTAACGGCTAGCTACACTCGTTTGTTTTTAGCATAGGGCTAACTTCCGGTCCCGGTGCGCTAGCCGGCCTGCACTCGGGCAGGGCTCACTGGCCCTAACCACACTATTCCACTAATAACTGCTTTGTTACTGTTAAGATTAGTGCCACTCTGCTTAACCAAATTGCATTCGGTTGCTAAAACTAAATGTTTTGGTGCCTAGAGTACTGCTAAACCTGCTGTTTTCGGCAAGCTACCGGCTAGCTACACTCCTTTGTTTTTAGCATACGGCTAACTTCCGGCTTTGGTGCGCCAGCCCGAGCCCACACCGCTACCGTGCTTGCACTAATTCTGAACCACTCTGCTTACCCGTTGTCTAACAATAACACTACTTGCTATACTTTCGAGCTATTCTGGCTCACACTGATTCTGTGTTTTGGCGATCAAAGGGTGCTAACCCCGTCTCTGCAGGCTGCTAAACAGAGCTACACCTCTTTTATTGTCTAACACAGGACTACTTTCCGGTCCCGGTGCGCTACTTCCGGGGCTACACTGCTGCCGCCTTGACATTTGATTCTGCACCACGTCCTGTGCCCAACTGCTGCCCGTGTTTCTAACATTAATACTGTTTTGCTATAATTCTGTGCTGTTTTGGTTTGCTCCAACTCAATAACCACACAACACTGACAAACTCGATGTTTGATTGTGTTAAACTAATACTTTGATTCTGCTCCTCACTGCTGCATGTAATTGGTGAACCACATTACTGCGTTGGTAAAACTAATACTTTAACTCTGCTCCTTCTACTGAATGTCATTGTTGAACCGCATCTGTGTGTTGATTTAACAAATACTGCACTCCCACCCCCCCCCCCTGCATGTCATTGTTAGACCACATCGCTGCGTTGGTTAAAACTCATACTCTATTTCTGCCCCTCCACGCCACGTGCTGTCACTAAAACTGCATTGCCTTGTCGTTCAGCCTGCTGCTTACTTGCTACTGCTTACTTGAGTTGCGTCTCAAACGCCGCTGCATCTTAACGCCGCAGTTGCGTCTCCAACGCCGCTGCGTCTCAAACGCCGCGGTTGCGCCTCAACGCCGCTGCGTCCCTAACGCCGCAGCTGCGTCCCCTAACGCCGCGGGTGCGTCTCAACGCCGCTGCGTCCCTAACGCCGCAGCTGCGTCCCTAACGCCGCAGCTGCGTCCCTAACGCCGCGGGTGCGTCTCAAACGCCGCAGTTGCGTCTCAAACGCCGCTGCGTCCCAACGCAGGTGCGTCCTACCGCCGCAGTTGCGTCTTAACGCCGCTGCGTCTCAAACGCCGCTGCGTCCCAACGCAGGTGCGTCCTAACACCGCAGTTGCGTCTTAACGCCGCAGTTGCGTCTTAACGCAGCTGCGTCCTAACGCCGCAGTTGCGTCTTAACGCCGCTGCGTCCTAACGCCGCAGTTGCGTCCTAACGCCGCAGTTGCGTCTTAACGCCGCTGCGTCTTAACGCCGCTGCTTCTCAAACGCAGTTGCGTCCTAACGCCGCAGTTGCGTCTTAACGCCGCTGCGTCCCAACGCAGGTGCGTCCTAACGCCGCAGTTGAGTCTTAACGCCGCTGCTTCTCAAACGCAGTTGCGTCCCAACGCAGGTGCGTCTTAACGCCGCTGCGTCTCAAACGCCGCTGCGTCTCAAACGCCGCTGCGTCTCAAACGCCGCTGCTCCTTACGCCGCGTCCTTACGCCGCGTCCTTACGCCGCGCCCTTACGCCGCGTCCCTACGCCGCGTCCCTACGCCGCGTCCTTAGGCCGCGTCCTGACGCCGCGTCCTTAGGCCGCGTCCTGACGCCGCGCCCTTACTACTGCTGCTACCGCTGGCGCCACTACTAACCCTACGTGCGCCAACGCCACTAACCCCAACGCTCTTCGCTGACACACAGGTGAAGAAGCACTAACGCCCGACCCCAGTCCTAAGCTACCTACTCCCATACACCACCGCACGAAGAGGACGCTGTAGTCACGGCTTTGACACACACCAAGGTTTGCACCACCACACAAACAACAGCTGTACTACCCGCTCTATAGCACTGCTTTCCTCCTTTCCTCCTCCCACCGTGTCATGCACACACGTTCCAAGTCATACTCCCATACACTCACCCACACAAATATGGAAATCGATGGCGGAAACTCGCCACGCCCAAGCGAGCACGACGGTGTCTTGGAAGGACACGACATAGTGGATAACTTTCTGCGCGACTTCACAGAGAAGTTATCCCCAGGGGGCTATGACACGCTTGAGCACAGCTCACTCTCTGACTTACAAGATGCCACCTCCATATTGGCATCCGAGGCTACTTCGACGAAACTCGAAGGTAAGACCCTAACCCAGTGGCTAGGACGACTAGCCATAATCTCCAGAATAACCCTGCGCAATGCCAAAGCTAAGGCTAAAAAGCTTCAGGACACGGTAGGGGAACTACAACGACAACTAGCGGAAGCTAGGAAGTCCGTCGCAAGCCCTACAGAACAACACCCACAGGTAAATAAAACCCGCCAACAGGGACGGGACGTTACTCCAAGCGCGAACATGGATCTTGCCCGCGCATCGAATATCAGGCCAGCTATGACGACCGTAACCAGTCGGGAAAACGGCTCCCGGTCACAATCCCCTCTCTCCGACTGCGGTGACCCGCCGCCCGAGATGAACCGCAGGAACATGGCCGACCCGGTAAGTATCCTCATAACATATGACCTAAACACGCAGCCGTACGACTTGATAATACAACCCTACTCCCTGGTAAACACGACCATGCGCAAAATGCCTCCAGTGCGACTGACCGTGGGCCCCATGACACTGGTCCACCCGGTCTACACCTCCCCATTCGACGCGCATCCGCTCCTACTGGGCCAGGACCTTCTAAATCGGTTTAAGCCCCTAATAGACTTCCAACGTCTGAAGATCTGGGCACAGGTCCGGGAGCCCCTGCCCATTCCGCGCCCGTTGGGCGAGAACCACTGCTACTTCATCGACGGACCCGAGCACGTTGCGCGCGACCCCGACCAAACAATGGGACCGCCCACAACTACAGCCAACCCACAACACAACATTAGACAACATGACTACCCGACCCACGACTCTGGCCCACCTGACGTCCATACGAGACATATTTCAGACTACCGCCATTGGGACGAAAGGGCCCGACCTGAACATGGCGGACAACCCTACAACAACCCCCCTGGCGCACATCAGAACATGCTACATGGACCACACGACGTACGGTACCCTAAGTCTGGGCCGTCCGCATATGCTGCGACACAATGGCCAGCGACCCGCCATGGGAACGCCGGGGACCTCCCCAATCATGGAGGGCAACCCCACGGCACCCCCCCTGACGCACGCCAGGACTTGGCCCTAGGCCAAAGATACTGCCCGGACTATAGAGAACGCCCCTTCGACGTCACGATCGACACGACGCTCGGAATCTCCGGCCGTGAAAATGACAAACTGCCAATACGCCATGGGCTGTTAGGTTCTGCTTCCGATACACTCACTTCGTTGGTACTCGTGGTGCCTCGAAGCATGAGGGGGGTGATGTTGGCACACGCCCATGACGCACCTACCGCGGAACAAACAGGTATAAACAACACACGTCAGGCACTACAACAGGTAGAAAGGACGGACCGGACGGTGACCGAAATACTAAGGTACGTATCCCCAAACCGGAGTGACGAGAACGTGAAACTCCCCCGGCTCCTGAGGACAAACCAATACAGGACCGACCCGCAGGACCACCTCCAGGTCAAAAACCAGGTATGGTATTACACCTTGGCACATTCCCCAGGACACGTGGGGACCGGCCCCACCAGACTACGCCGGAAATCGCTACCCCGCTGGTCAGGACCATACAGGGTGGGAAACAAACTCTCAACCGCAGTGCACCAGATCGAGGTCACAAAAGGTAGAGAGCCCACCCTCAGATGGGCCCGTTACAGCCAAACCAAACCACACAAACAAAGCCCCATGGGACAAGCAGGGCACACTACAAACCCCAGTTAGGAACACACCACGTGACCTCAAACACGATTAGTCCAGCACCCACTAACACTCTTCTCGGCTGCACTAATCGAGTCTCTCTTTTCTCTCTCTGTCTAACCCCTAACAGTTGTTTCACGCCTTGCAGAACATGTGGCCCACTTTCCTTCTCATGCTGACCTGCATACTGTGCCTCGGCACCCCAGAAATTATTGAGACCGGACCAGCCTCCGGGATCGTTTTAAAGGAACAACCCGGGCTCCTCATCACGGACGTCCGACTCCACACACAGCGAATCTTTGTCAGACTCAATCCTAGTGAAGTCTGCCGCAAGAACCTGCCCTCGAAGGTCACACTCAAAGATTGGGCAGGTGCACGCTGGACCCAGACGGTCGTGGAGCACGCTGAGGCAGACATACAACACATGCTGACGCAACTAGAGAAGTTCACGATCACTAGGACAGAGCTCAGTGACCCTCGCCCCAGACCCAAACGATTTATTGGGGCTCTCCTCGGCGCGGCGTCCGCCCTGGGCACCCTCTTTAGCCTGGGGATGTCCACGGTAAACGCCATTAGCCTATCCTCCCTCAGACGCCACCAACAAGAAATGGCCTCTGAACTCGAGGATGTCAAAACCAGACTTGACCAACAACAGAACGACGTGGTGACCTTGGGAAAGTCCCTGAAAGGAACCATGCTAGTACTTAACACGCACGAGGTTGCGATTAAACGCACCTCCGCTGCGGTCAACCAACTCTTAGACGTTCTCCAACTAGACTACGCCCATACTCAGCTGACCACCCAACTGATGGAGGACATGCTACGTCACCTCAGTTCCTCGATCGAAAACCTAGCCATGGGCCGTATCCCGCCATACCTCGTGCCGCTATCGTTAGTTGAGGACATTCTAGCCGTAGCCACACGGGACGCCGTAACCCCCATGTAAGCCCACTTAGCGTACACGCTGGGCGCTGCAGTCCCCATCTATGTTAATCCTCTGGACCGCGAGGTAGCCTTCCTAGTCACCCTACCGATAGTTCCCGGCGATAAAATCTACCGACTAAAAGGGATCACTAACCTAGGGACCTGGAGGGACAATGCCCACGTCAGAGTCCAGACACCAGACATAGTAGCCTACCACGACAGTAACCCCAATTTGTACCTAACGCCAAATCTAAGGATGTGCACCCTCACCAAGGACATCCATTACCTCTGCCCCAGCAAACCTTCCTCGGCATATCTGAGGAAGGTGCATCTCTGCCGTGGGGGGGGGGTATGTAAGGTTAAATAAGGTACAGGGCCAGACAACAGCCAGGCCCTGGACTGTGTAAACATTTGGCCAAAAGGGGGGAAGACATCTCACCGCGGCCTCAAAGGAACCGTGGGGTCAACCGTAGGACTGCCATTGATCATGGGGATTACAGGCGTCAAACGGAGCAATAAAGTCCCCACAAGAATAAACATCTTGGTCCCTGTCTGTCTGTAGAGATCAAAAGGTCGCGACTCTGTTCTCCCTCTCTGGACATTCCTGTCCCTGGACAATGAATGACTCACCCACGGCGTTCTGGCGCCCCCCAGTGGACACTGAACACTATCACACCCGGGACGGACAATTTTAACCAGCACTCCTGGATTCATTATTCCAATAATCTGCATTGTGCCCTACACGTGTGTATCATTGTCAAGTAATGTAAATGCGGTGTGTGCCTGTACATGTGTTATGAATGTCTGTACTAATCCTGCGTTTGTGCCATTATAACATGTCTGTTGTGAAGGAGGTCCAGGGAGGCGCACAAGGATGACATCACGGACGCGCCCCCTTTAGAAGTCAATATAAACACACACAATGCAACAGAACGACCTCTTGTCTTCCCCTGAAATCACTATTGCAGCTCTCCTGCCCTTCGCGTCTCGCGGTACGTGTCTCCTACTACGGCCGCGCCTGCACGCATTGGGCCTTCCACTCCGCGAGCACAGCCCTCCTTCCTGGCTCGGGATCTTATGAACTGTTCCATCATCAGCCTCTTTTCCTGGCTCTGGACCCTACGCACGCAACTCATTCCGGACTGAGTTGTATATGCGTGGATCAAAAGTTGGACTAGATTCGCTGGCTTCGTATCTCCCGCCTGCCCGGACAAAGAAACCACGTGGGCTGATTCTCCATCCCAAATCCTTTCTTCACCCCTCTACGCTCCTCAAAGTAAGACTGTTCCTTGTTGGAAGTGTGATTCAAATGATATGCATAACAATCTTTGCTTAATGTGACCAGAAAACCCTTTTCGTATTTTCTATTTTCATTTTTGTAGTCAATAAAACCCCGTTATCTTTAAATCAATCATATCAGCGTCGTGTTTTTAAATCTTGGGTATCTCTGGCTGATATACGCATTCACTACCTATTAGATTATAAGACTGATTTGAGGCAAATTAGTTGGATCTGTGCAGAAATTTTCAAACTCTGCTGGTGCCCAAAATAAAAGCAGATCCCCCACTCGTGTAGGACGGCCAGACTCTGATTTGGAGACTAGCCGCACTACACTACATCTTACTACATTATTCTTCTCTTACAATTTATAGTTACCCCACATATAATTACCCTACATAGCAAACTGACTCCGGTTTTTCTTTTTTAATCTCAATGTCAACTGTATTATTATAACACATTTCCAACATCCCAAAGTGCTACAAATGCATTTTAATCAAAAGGAAAAAAGGAAAAGAAAAACCTAGCACAAATGCACAGCAGAGAGTTCAGTTCAGTAGTTCCCATGATTACCAAAACCATACATGGAGGAGGATCCCAGAAAAAGACAGAATCTGAGGAAGAAAGTTACATCAATGTAGTGTTTTGGGGGTGGGCACCAATAAGCTTTTGCTTCGGCCCACTCCTTTTGAGCAGTACTTGTCTGCTCAAATAAACAAATAAATAAAAAAATAAAAAATAAAAAATGAAACCCTTTACAACGTATCGACAGTTAGAATATGGATGATACCCTCGTGGGCACACCTTTGTCATGGCTTTGTTTGAAAATTGTGTTATGAAGGTAACTTGTTATTGAACTTTATTTTAATATGTAGATTGGTAAGTTGCAATTTTTTGTTTGAACTTTATGTTAATATGCAAGTTATATGCTTGTATTATCAAGGTCTACAGATGGAAAGAAGCTGGGGCTAAATCGGGTACAGCCATATTTTTAATGTACAGTACAGACCAAAAGTTTTTTTATTTTTATGATTATGGAAATTGCAGATTCACACTGAAGGCATTAAAACTATGAAATAACTCATGTGTAATTATGTACGTACTAATAAAAGTATGAAACAACTGAAAATATGTCTTATATTTTCGGTTCTTCAAAGTAGCACCTTTTGCTCTGATTATTGCTTCACACACTCTTGGCATTCTCTTGATGAGCTTCAAGAGGTAGTGACCTGAAATGGTCTTCAACAGTCTTGAAGGAGTTCCCAGAGATCCTTAGCACTTGTTGGCCCTTTCGCCTTCACTCTGTGGTCCAGCTCACCCCAAAACCATCTGGATTGGGTTCAGGTCCAATGACTGTGGAGGCCAGGTCATGTGGCCCAGCACCCATCACTCTCCTTATTGGTCAAACAGCCCGTACACAGCCGTGTGTGAATCTACAATCAATAGTCATGAAAAGAAAGGAAACTCATTGAATGAGAAAGTGTGTCCAAACTTTTGGTCTGTACTCTAATTGCACATCGTCCTTAACAAATTTAACTTAAACTAAAACAATAGAGTCATAGTGCCAAATTTACTAAAACTAAACTGAATATCTGGCAGCCTCTGTGTGAGTGTTGGGTGCCTGGAGTTAGGCTTCACCTTGCACTGGATGAAGGGGCGGAGCAGCACGAAGATGGGGATGCGTGTGCGGACGATGAAGTCGATGAAGTCCCAGAAGGCCAGGCCGCCCACCTTCCTCAGAGCCATGTCTTTGACCTGCAGACTGAGGCGGTACCACTGATTCCCCAGAGAGCGCTCAAAGCACACCAGCACCACCTTCAGGGCTGAAAGAGCACAAGGACCATTATACATTATTCACACTAGTCTCTGATCCTCCATCCTCCAACATTCTTTGTGCAGAACCTTCTCATGACACTGCATGTTCTGATCAGTGTTGGGGAAGAGACTTTTACACATACTGTGGAATGAGAACTGAGCGAGAGTTGTGACCGATGCGACAGCTCCAGTCGATGGTCACAGCTGCCCGTGGTAAATATAAAGTAACATTGCGCTGGAGCAAAAAATAAAACAAAATTGTTGATAGTTAACGCGTTCCTTTACTTTCCCCTGGAAAGAGTAGTTTTGTTAGTATAATGTGTTTCTTTGTAATGCATTTCTACATTCTACACAATTCTAGGTCAAATCTAATGATGAAAATAAGGATTAATCCCTAAATGAACTCCCCTTACGGTAGAGTCAGCCCCTGAACCTGGAGACAACACAGGAAAATACTTTTACTGCAAAAACCGGCTCTCGTTGTGACATCATTGTGTGAGACAGGCCTCCTCTCTGACAATGTTTAAAACCAGGTTAAAAACCGTTCTGTTTAGCTGTGCATACAACTGAGGGATTTTATATTTTTAATGTTCTGTGATTATTTATGATTTTAATGCTTTCTTGTTTTGTTCAGCACTTTGAGTTGCCTTGTGTATGAATTGTGCTATACAAATAAACTTGCCTTGCCATCATCCATCTACACCTGCAGACTGCCCCGCCCGACCCGCCTGGGAGTGCTTCAGTCCTGCACCGGACCTGTCCACGTTCAGCGGCCACTGGTCCACGTCCTGTAGCTTAGGTCCTAGATCATTAGTCTGTCCGTCCGGAGGAGCGGATCCCTTTCTCATATGGGTCTCCCTCCCTGTGGGTTTCCCTAGTTCTCCCCAAGGTTTCTCACTTTTTCCCACTGGGTTTTTTAAGAGTTTTTCCTTGTCGATGCAGGAGGGTCTTGTTGGACAGTTAGTGTCCAACAGAAAGGATTGATGATGATCAGGACACTTTAGCATTCTACAACATGTATGGACATTTTCTTCTGTGTGTGCTTTATATTTTTCATGTGTTTTAACTGTTGATTCTCTGACCTGTGTTGGTGATTTCAATGGTTTTGTTAAGTCCTCTGAGATGACTTCTGTTGTGATTTAGGGCTATACAAGAATAAATTGTATTGTATTGTATCATCAATGACATCTGGTGCCAACGTACACCTGTGCCGTTTAAAAACAGGAACAGTGTGCAGCGTTGCGTTTGCCGAGTTGGGGTTAGTTTGGAAGATGGATACTGGCAGTTTACTTTATGGAGTAACAATCTATGGACGGGAACAGTTAACCAGAGGCCTTGTGTGCAACAACTAATCGTCTAATCGATGAAGAACCAAGTGTGTTACAGACCCAGGTATGCAGCCTGGCTGGTGGACTCGGCCAGCCCCTCCCTCCTCAGGTCCTTCCCCGTGTCCCCCGGGGTGGAGCAGTGGGCGGGGGAGGCGTCAAGCATGAAATTTTTGGTGCGGGACGTGGAGATGATGCGAGGGGGCAGCAGGATGTTAATGACCGTCTGCAGGAGGAGGAAGATCTCCGGAGGCTCCAAGTGTGGGCTGTCTATGAACGCACAACACAAGCAATTTACTTTTTTTTTTTTCTAAATGTCCCTTTTGGTGTCAATATTTTAGTGTTTAATGCATTTATTTTTGAAATATGTGAACCACATGAGGGTTGTTCCACTGCCACAATAAACATATAAATAAAAAGTGAAAAAATAAACAATATACATAAATTGTACGTACAATAGAAGACTGTTGTATGTGTTTGTGCGCACATGTACTTTATGTGTTTACAGCCGCACAGTGTAGTTTTGTTTAGTGCAGTGAGTGCTGTAGTGATGAAGAGCTGCTCTCTCCTGATGCAGACTCGACTCCTGGTCTGCTGCCTTGATCTTCCACAATCATCACTGTCACCGTTAGTAACACACTTTTACTGCTCGTATCGCCACAACTGAAGTCTTATGCGGCATAAGCTGCCAGTATTTCTCAGATCAACAAACTATTGTTTTATTTAAGATTAAGATGAAGAGATCCTTTATTCGTCCCACAGTAGGGAAATTTCAGTGTTGCATCACAAGTTATAGAACAGTAGGAAAGAGGAGCACACAGCACAGGATAAGTGAACAATAGTTAGACTAGTTAAAATAGAAGCATCAATAACAAGTATAAAATCTCCATCTTGAAAACAATAGTAATAAAAAGAAGTGTGGCTATATATGAATGGCAATGAACAATTGTGGCGCACAGTGTTTTTGTACTATTGGACGGTGAGAGACATGCGTCCGAGACGGCGACACACTACATCCAGTGGACATTCAGTTTTTCCCAATTCATTGGGAAAAGATCAGATACCATCCAAGATTGAAGATTGTGTCAGCTGTGATTGGCACTGCTCGGTTTCCTGGAGATTAGACGGCTTGTAAAGTCCTCCGAGATAACTACTGTTGAGGGGTTTTAAGGTGGAGCTAACACTTTCATGTTGCTCCCTAAAGGATTCAACACTTTAACGCATGTCATTACATGTCTATTTTAACTATAATTGTTTTCATGAATGCAGGAATACTGTGCGGAATAATGGTTTATTCTGCATATGTACTGTTGTTATTATAGACTACAATTGTAGAGTCAGTTCTGACCAATATCAACAAACACATCCGAGAAGGACAGTGGGCGTGGGAGACGGGGAGAGTATACGAAATGGCCAGTTGAACAGGCTATTTACCATTGTACTCCAAATCTCTAAATCCAAACAGCTCAGACAAGTTGACATTGTGTACCTTTGCTTCCAGAGCCCACGGTCAGCACAAAGGGGATGAGCAGGTTGAGCAGCATCCCTTCACGTCGCTCTTGATTGGTAAAAGGAGAGATCACATGATTGAGGGGGAAGTCCTCTTTCAAAGCCTGAGAGAAGATGAGATGACATTTTAGACAGAATATATTCACATTGCTCACAAAAAATAGAAATGTAACAAGAAATGGTTATCAAATCTGGCCTGCAGCGCATTTCCCCACTTTAGAAAGTGCTCTGTGAATCGACTGCCACTTACTGCTCACTACTGTATCTTTTTAGAAAACATGCAAAAAATGTATGGGTTACTGTTTATGTTCAGTTACGTATCACCGCATCACATATGCTAAGTAACGTACAATCAAAGCAACTCATCCCACAATAAAGTGACTTTTCAAAGCTGTAGATTCGCCAACACTGATCAGAGAATCAAACACAGGATTTGCAATGAAGAAAATCACAAAGAGCAATTGGGGCGAATGACCAATGTCCATAAATGTTGTTAGCACTAGCATTAGCTACTGTATAGGGACAGCAGAGCGCAGCAGTAACAGGTCAAGGCCGAAAAGAACCATCTAGTTTGGAATGTTACTTTTGATTTTGAGTTCAGTGATGCTCTGTATTGAAATTCTTGTTCTAAAAACCTAACCCTGAAAGAGTGAGAAACAAAAGAGTGGTATGATATGTAAAAGGAATCATAGTTCATTGGAACATCTTGAACCAGATGTGTTATATATTAGTTAGTGACCTGTATTTGCAGAGCCACCAGGCGGACCACAGCGGTGCTGAAAGGCAGAGGGGGCGACAGGTACGGGCTGAGGTGGAGGAGAGGGAGCCCATCTGCCACGCTGGAGGGGCCCACCACACCCATCACCTGCATCACACACACACATAGACACACACAGACACACACACACACACACACACACACACACACACACACACACACACACACACACACACAGGGGGCAAAATCAGTAGGTCATTGCTCCCATGAGAAGATGCAGGGGGTGCAAAGGCATCTCTGCTGTCAGAGAAAAGATATGACTCAAACATGCTGGAATAGTTCTGAAAGTTTAGTTAATTCAAGTTAAGTTAGTTTAGTTTTGTTTTCCCCAGGGTTCTGTTCTTGGTCCTTGGTTCTATCCAATTCTTTTCTTACACCCTTAACAAAATCATCTTCATCACCACTGATAGCTACTCCATATCTCCCTCCCTACAGGTCAAGAGTCTGGGTGTCATTCTCGATAATACTCACTCAGAGTTTTCTCCAACATTAACAACAGCACTCGCTCCGCTTTATTTCATCTCCGCAACATCCACTGCCTCCGCCCCTATCCCACTCCACAGGCCCCTCCCCCACCCCACAGTCCACTGCAGTCCTGGTTCACACCTAAAACTTAACCAGTCACCACTTATTACACTTTTTGACAAGCGCAAACTGAACTTCCGGACGAATCTGGTTTCCAGGACGAATACGGGAGTGACAGTCACACTGCCCCCTACTGGTGATGTTGACAGTGTGCTGGGGGGCAGTGCACAGGTGTAATACTCTCTCTCACTCACAGGGGGCAGCACTGGGCTCGATGGTCGGACAGATGACTTATGGGAAACGTCAGTTTGAGGCGTTGGATCCAATGATGCGGAAGCTCATACCCCCGTTTCACTCGGCCATGAACCAATTTTACAAAATGGTGGATGAAGACGCCAATGCTTTTAATGCATACATGGTAACAATACGTATCCAACTCTTGGTTAAGTATTAGTAATTAGGGCGATACTTTCTCTCGCGATTCGATTATCGAAATGCATTTGGCAAGTATTGATATCAATTTTGAATTGTTATATTTTTTTTTGAATTGGTATCAATACTTAATATATGGCTACATTACGCATCTCCATTCTATTTATCATGAAATAAAGAGTATTTTTTCTTTTATGAATGCCATAAATTGGCATATTGTATATTTCTAACCAATATATCAATAATTGTCATATCGTGATAAAATCGTTATCGTGAGCTTTGTATCGTGTATCGTATCGTATCGTGAGGTACCCTTAGGTTCCCACCCCTATTAGTAATAATACTTGGAGTATTCATACCATTCAATTCCATTTATTCTTGTATTGCCCTAAATCACAAAATTATCATCTCAGAGACTTAACAAAACTATTGAAATCACCAACACAGATCAGAGAATCAACAGTTAACCATATGGACCATATGGAGAGACCAATGTCCATGAATGTTGAAGAATGTCCATACATGTTGAAGAGTATTAAAGTGTCATGGATCATCACCACAGTCCTTCTTGATAGACACTAACTGTCCAACAGACTCCTGCATCAGAGGAAAAACTCTAAAACCCTGTGGGACAATAGTGAGAAACCTCGGGGAGATCCACATTGAGAGAGGGATCCGCTCCACACAGACAGACGGGCTGAAGATCCAGGACCTAAGCTATAGGACTAGGGGTATTAGTACTAAGTGTACTAAACCTGGGAGTACTTGGAGTATCAGCACTAGGGGTACTTGGAGTATTAGTATTATGAGTAGTAAGGGTCGAGGGGGGTGGTTAGAGGTGAATATTAGTACTAGGGGTATAAGTACTAGGAGTTTTTGGGGTACTAGTACTAGGAGTCCTTGGAGTATTAGTCAGGGCATGCCCTGATGAAGACTGCGTTGGTGGAAACGTGTAGGCAGTCCATTTTAATAATGGACTTTTACATTTTTTCAATTCAACAGAGTGCCTCAGACTCCTTTTTTTACCTCTCGATCACCACACTACGATCAAGTCAGAAACATTGTATATCTGCTTAGGGCTATTGCTACTTGGATTATAAGTACCAGGGGTAATTGGAGTATTAGTACTAGCGGTATTTTGGAGTATTAGTGCAAGGGGTACTTGAGTATTACTACTTGGAGTTCTAGTACTAGGGGTAGTTGGAGTATTGGTTCAGAGCATTTTGTGGTGTTTCTCAGGCCGCTCTGAAGATGCCCAAGAACACAGAGGAGGAGCGAATGCGGTAAGACCCCGACCGTGTGATGTCAGGAGGCAGCAGCAGATGGGTTAATTAATAATAATAAAGATAATAATGATAATAATATTTGTCAGGCGGCAGCAGCAGATGCAGTCTGGTCTACAGGAGGCAGTGAAGGTCCCCCTGTTGTTGGCCCAAAGAGTCTCTGGACTCTGGAGTCCTCTAAAAGAGCTCTGTCTCCACGGCAACGCAGCCTGCCTATCAGATGCTCAGGTGAGAGTCATGTGACCATAACATATATAATATACATATTATTTACATATCTAACCCGGTGTGATGTCACAGGTCGCGGCTAAAGCTTTGGAGACCTCTGTGTTTGGAGCTTATTTTAACGTCATCATAAATCTGAAGGACGTGACCGACACAGAGTTTAAACTGAAGGTGAAGACTTACCCTGAGCCCCCACCCTTACCCCCCACCCTTACCCTGAGGCCTCACCCTGAGGCCCCACCCTTACCCTGAGGCCCCACCCTTACCCTGAGGCCTCACCCTCACCCTTACCCTCACCCTGAGCCCCCACCCTTACCCTGAGCCCCCAACCTTACCCTGAGGCCCCACCCTTACCCTGAGGCCTCACCCTTACCCTGAGGCCTCACCCTCAACCTGAGCCCCCACCCTTACCCTGAGGCCTCACCCTCACCCTGAGCCCCCACCCTTATCCTGAGGCCCCACCCTTACCCTGAGGCCTCACCCTTACCCTGAGGCCTCACCCTCAACCTGAGCCCCCACCCTTACCCTGAGGCCTCACCCTTACCCTGAGGCCTCACCCTTACCCTGAGGCGTCACCCTTACCCTCACCCTGAGGCCCCACCCTTACCCTCACCCTGAGCCCCCACCCTTACCGTGAGGCCCCACCCTTACCCTGAGGCCCCACCCTTACCCTTACCCTCACCCTGAGGCCCCACCCTTACCCTGAAGCCTCACCCTTACCCTTACCCCCACCTTGAGGCCCCAACCTTACCCTGAGGCCTCACCCTTACCCCCACCTTGAGGCCCCAACCTTACCCTGAGGCCTCAGCCTCACCCTGAGGATATATGTGCAGCTCTGGGTTAGGGTTAAAAAAATCATATTCGGATTTTTCATATTCTATTTGTAAAACGTAAAAAAATGACACTTTGTGTTTAATGTTGTTGCAGACGGAGCGTGAGGCCAAAGCTTTGCTGCAGGAGGCTCAAGACTGTGCGTCCGTCTGCCTTTGTGCCTGTGAGCAACGCACTTCCCAGAACTGACACCACAGGATCCTAAGGGTTCTAACCCATAACCCTCACCCCAATCCTAACCCTCATCCTCCTCACCCCAACCCTAACCCTCACCCCATGCTGTTACATCTGTGTTGTAAACATTGTTCTTGTGAACAAATGTGAGGTCAATGATCAGTTTAAATGTTTCAAAATAAAAGCGTTTGTTTCTTTAATAAGTGCAGAAAATTATCCTTTTCCTTTTACTGAGACACTAGATCTAAGTTCCAAAAGACTTAGATCTCCACTAAAGGTCTGGACTCTAAATCTAACTGGAGCTCTTATTTGAACTGGTTTTAATTGATCAGGTTCCTCTTACAGGTTTGGATTGCACATCTCTACACAGTTACAACAACACTCAAGGTTAAAGGTCAATGTTGCTGTAATACAATGGGCTATATACACGGGGAGGTGGAGAGGGCAGAACAAGTGGAGGGTGGAGAAACTGGTCATTCTACAAAGGAGAAATAAGAGCGTCAGATAATCTTCTGAGAAAGTAAAAACACAAAGTAGCAGATCAAAACTCACAGGCATTTACGCAGTTCTCCACAGGAAAAGGGATTCTCCAAATTCAGCTCAGGAGTGTCAAGACAGAGCAGGTGCCATGAGACTGTAATTATAGACTTGGGGGCGGAGCCAGGTGCCGCCCAGAGGTGGGCCCAAGACAGGCAAAAAATGAGGGGAGGAAAGGGATTTTTCACAGCCGCCCCCAAATATGCAAGACATATTTGTAACCCAAAAAATCACAAAGATCCAATCTAGTGATCGCCATCATCCCGGATCTCAGTAAGGGGAACAAGCAAGCCCCGGCGATCCAAGATGGCGCCCTATTCAAATGAATGGTTGTGCTCAGTGGCGCTTTGTGACAGCATGGGGGCTGAAAAGATTAGCGGAAGTTGCCTGAAACTCGCAAAGATCTATGGGAAACTCGCCTGTATTTGGGCATCGTCTGGTCCTCCCGGTTCTGTGCAGTGGATGATCTCCCATAATGCGTTGCGTCAAACACACGTGTGTGGGTCTCACACCGGGTCTCACACACGTGCACAGAGGGGCTCGGCCGCGCTCTGACCAATCAGAGCAGTTCATCAGAGCGGGAGTTAGAGCGAGAGCCAGACGAGCAGAGTTTGTGGCAGTAAAGTGTGGATTTAAACAAAACCGAAGGATTTAAGAAGAAAAAAAGTTCAGGATGACAAGGAACACTAAAATCCCCACAAAATCCGACCTTTATGAAAGCTGTTGGTTCTCTGTCAGGTTCTCTGTCAGCTGAGGTTGAGCTGTTTTAATGTGCATTGAGTTCTATGGGGAAAATTTCTGGGTAGCCCACGTGAATTTAGTCTGGTTCAGTCTGCAGTACCGCGAGAATCCCCCGAGCACATGAGTTATTCAGCTACAAGCTAGTAATACTCTATCCAGTTATTATAATAGATCCATGGGAACAAGTCTGTTGACAGGGCGCAAATAGGATTTCTCCTTGATCTTGACCTCGGCAACCCTTACTCTGCCGTCTGAGCTGGGAAGAAGTTTGGTTACAGTTCCAATTGGCCAGGAAGCTTGTGGGAGCAAGGGGTCGAAAATCATCACGACAGTATTGGCGGTCAGGTTTGGCTGCTCCACTTTCCACTTCTGCCTTGACTGGAGAGTAGGCAAGTAGTGCTTGATAAAGCTGTTCCAGAACTGATCAGCAAGCACCTGACTATGCCGCCATCTTCTGGTCCCCAGAAGTAGAGTGTCTGTAGACAACTGGAAGTGCAGCCTCAAGCCACCCCATAAGGAGAAGGTTTGGGGTCACAGGCTCTGGGTCTGCAAGAGAAGATGACAAATAACCAAGGGGCCTTGAGTTCAAGATCTCTTCCACCTCAGTGAGCACAGTTCTTAAAGTAGTACTAGAATTTAATATGCTGCTATCCAGAATATATAACTACAATATGTGTTTATAATATTTCGGGTGTTCATTTTGATATGTTCAGATGAATTATGTTAAAAAAACAGCTTTGAAGTCGGACCTTTTCACAAACGCTAGGGGGAGCCAAAATGGCGGCGATGACGTAGGAGAAGGACCTCTCACAGCAGCAGCAGCAGTCTTAGCTGGAAACTGTAGGAGGTTTCACTGTCATCTGAACAAGGTTTAAATATATTTTCATCCGTTTTGTACATAATAGGGTGCAACTCTTTTAACCTTTTAGCCTTATTTGTGAGATTCAAGCAAACTAGTGTTGGGCAAGTTAGCTAACTACTTGATATCATAAAACATGCTAACAAGGCTAATATTCGTTTTTACATTATGCCAGTCTCACTTTGGTTGCCTTAGATTTATTTACCACAATGTACATTGTAATATCCATAAATGCCAATCAAAATAACTTGAATTAAATAAATATTTTACTTTTATGAACAAAAAGCTGCAGAAGTTGAAAACATAGACTACATGTAGGGTTGCCAACTTGAGAACAAAAAAATAAGGGACACCATTTGGGTGGATCGGGTTGAGCACTTTTTAGTCCTAATTTCAATCTACACAGGAATCATGGAATTTCATAATCCCATTTTTAGAATGTAATTTATTGGCTACATATAAATTTATTGGCTACATATAAAAATCAATAAAATTCTTAGGCAAAAAATAAATGTCATAAATAGGTGGAACTCTTTGGCTGGTTAAGGACTTCATGCATTCTTATTAGTAATAAAACATATAAAAAGACAAAGACAGTAAAGACCATTTACTGTAAAAGAAAAAAAGAAAAACATGTATTCATTAAAAAAACTCACAAATGTTGAAATCAAAGTCTGTAGCAGTTAGATATGGTCATTATTTATAGTGTCTGAGAGTTTAGTGCGTGTACATGGCTTCAGTAAAAGCTATTTTTTGTTTACAAAGCTGGTATTGACATTGGTTGACGGTCCCTAAGCGCTTTTCTCGGCGCTTGCAGTGAACTGGATTCAATGGATTTCTCTGCATTAAAAACAGCGCATTGGATTTGAAAAATCAACATAGAGGTGATCATTTTAGCAAATTACTTTTGTTTAACAAAGTAACTTCCGTGAGCTATTGACCGCGGAAGTCCGAATCTGGGAATATGACGCTACTTTACCAGACTTCTGCCAGGATGATGCTGCGGGCACGGCCGATCCATGCACGGCCCACGCTGTCACTTGTCAACAGTAAGGGTAAACCCATGGATGTGATCAAGCCTACGCCCCCTTTGACACTGTTTGGCCGAAAGGTAGACGCTTAAACTGTGATTACTGTGTGTGCGTGTGTCGCTTGTGTGACATGCAGTGAGTGAGTGATGCATTTAAGGCGACTCTGAAAATACGGGACAAGAGCCGTCCCGTATCAGTTCAATACGGGACGCACATAGTTTTTCTATAATACGGGACGATTCCGTATTTCAAGGGACGGTTGGCAACCCTAACTACATGTGATGCAATCATTGATAAAAATGCTAATTAAACCGTTAATAAGTGTTAGCATTTTTGAATATTACAATGTACATTGTGGTAAATAAATCTAAGGCAACCAAAGTGAGACTGACATAATGTAAAAACGAATATTAGCCTTGTTAGCATGTTTTATGATATCAAGTAGAGTTAGCTAACTTGCCCAACACTAATTAGCTTGAATCTCACAAATAAGGCTAAAAGTTTAAAAGAGTTGCGCACTATTATGTACAAAACGGATGAAAATATGTTTATACCTTGTTCAGATGACAGTGAAACCTCCTACAGCTTCAGCCCAGACTGCTGCTGCTGCTGTGAGAGGTCATTCTCCTACGTCATCGCCGCCATTTTGGCTCCCCCTAGCGTTTCTATGCGGAAGTGAAAAGGTGCCACTTCAAATCAGTTTTTTTAACATAATTCATCTGAACATGTCAAAATGAACACCCGAAATATTATAAACACATATTGTAGTTATATATTCTGGATAGCAGCATATTAAATTCTAGTACTACTTTAGGCCTCTTCAGTGACCGATTGAGAGCCCAGAATGACCCGCAGGGTGGTCTTAATGGCTCTCACTTCACGTTCCCATACCCCTCCAAAGTGGGGAGCGTGCGGAGGGTTCCTCCTGAAGTGGACCTTTCGACTAGCCAGCAGTTCTTGGAGGGGTAGGGCCAGTTCTTTAAAAGCTCTCTCAATCTCTCGTTCCCCACCAACAAAGTTGGTACCTTGGTCTGAGATTACTTCAAAGGGAGTACCACGACGAGCTTCGAACCGACGAAAGGACATTAGGAAACTGTCTGTATCAAGGCTCGTAAGCAGGTCAATATGGAGACAACGTGTGGTAAGACATTTGAAGAGAATCCCCCAACGTTTCTCCTGCCTGCGCCCAACCTTCACATGAAAAGGTCCAAAGCAGTCCATTCCAGTGGACCAAAAAGGGGGCTTGAACAGTCCCAATCTGTAGGGGGGAAGGTCTGCCATTCGTGGCGTGCGGGGTTTGGCTTTCTATTTATGGCACTCCAGACATGACTGCTGTACCTTTTTAATTGCTTGGCGTCCACGAAAGATCCAGAAACTCCTACGTAGGCTGGCCAGCACCCTCTCTGAGCCAGGGTGATGTAACTTTTTGTCCACACTCTTGATGAGCAGTTGAGTTATGTGATTGGTTGGGTCCAGGACTATCGGATGGATGGTTTGGTAGCTCAAGGCATCACAATGACGCAACCTGCCTCCCACTCTAATGACATTAAGGGCTGGATCAAACTCAGGGGCAAGGTTGAGTAGACGACTCTGTAGAGGTATGGGTCGGCCAGATTGTAATAGGGTCTATTCTTCAGGGAAACGTTGCTTCTGGGCATGTCGAAGGAGCATTGTTTCGGCTGAGGCACGGGTAGGGACTGCAGAGTTTGGAGACAGGTGTTTCATGGTTTCATTTACCATGTCTTCCCAAGTATCGAATTTTGTGAGATCAGGGGGAACATTTGTAGAGGTGACTTGGGAGTTACCACAGAAAGCACTTTTCTTTAGCTCCGAATCATCACAGGGCA